TAGTGTATACTTAGTGCCACTGCTGTTCTCATTTAAAATGAGGTAATTTGTGTTATAGGAATTTCATTTCAGTACATGATTGCCTTTACAATCAGGAGAGGGACAAAGCTTCTGCTTAACAAACAAACACCCCAGCAATGTCAGGAGGTGAGCTTGCGCTCCAGATGACATTGGCTTTTCCTCATCTGGAAAGTGGAGAGGTTATGGTGAGTTTGCTTCCTTCAGCTGGTGGGAACATACATGAGTTAGTCCACATGAAGTACTTAGATCAGGATTACACTGATGAGTAATTTTTGCCCAAGAAAGTCACTAGAAAGCTTCCTCAACAAGTTCTGATATAATCACTTCCTCCATTCTTGAGAAGATTGTAAGAATCAACAGCCCTTTATTTGAAAGGAAAAGATACACTAAACGAACCTGAGTGTAAACTCCCCTGTGAGTGACGAGCCTGGGTGGAGACCCTTCCAGAGCTTGAAACACTACGCCACTCAGCTTCCACCTCTTGGGAGGGGGAAACAGTTCCATTTGGAAGCTGGGGAAACTGAGGTTCAAGAGGTTAAATAGCCTGACCCAAATCTAACAGCTAGTCAGTGGTAGATTCAGAATGCAAACCCACATCTTGTTTCTGAATCTCCCAAGTCCTGGCATGTTTTCTCTTTCTGAAATAAGATAGGGGCCACAGGTATGAGGGGCCACAGGTATGAGCAGGAGGTGGAGCAGGTCAAATAAAAGTCCCCCCTGGGGTACAAACCCCGCTGACAGAAAAACCTGCTGACTGATGGGTGTTCCTTACTCTACTTACTTTCTAAGCGGCTACATCCACACCTTTATTCCTTTTTGTTGTTGTTGGGCTTTTTTTGGGGGGAGGGGCAATCCTGGGGCTTGAACTCAGGGCCTAGGCACTGTCCCTAGGCATCTCTGTGCTCAAGGTTAGCACTCTACCATGTGAACTACAGCACCACTTCTGGCTTTTTCTGTTGATGTGGTACTGGCGAATCAAACCCAGGGCTTCATGCATGCTAGGCAAGTACTACTACTAAGCTACATTCCCAGCCCACCTTGATTCTTTTTCATGGTGTATTCATTCCATGTGCCAGACCAGGGCCAACTTGATGTCATCCTGTCTCTACATTAACCCACTTATTTGAAAGGCAAGTCTGAGACCTCTGTCTATGCTGCACACTCATCTCTGTCCTACTCATCTCTAAAGGAGAAGCAACCGCTGTATTCAAGTGGAAATCTCAATAGCATTTACTATATATGTGGGTATCTATTTAGGTCTGAAACATTTCTCTCACTCCAATGTAGACCTTCTTACCCAGCCATGGTGGATGAGGCAGAGGAAGGATCTGAAGACAGCTCTCAGGATTCTGTGCTTCCCACAAGGTAAGTGATGGACAATTGGGATACTCACTGCTCTTTGAGAGCATCAGAATCAATGCTTTTGTTCCTGCAGGATTAAGTTAGTAGTTCCCTGTGCTCAGATTTATTTGGAAGCCCTGGTTAAAGAACAAGAAGTGCCAGGTGCCCATGCCTTTTATTCATAGCTCCTCAGCAATTTGAGATCTGGGGATTGAGGTTCAAAGCTAACCGGGGTTGGAAAGTCCATGAGACTCTTATCTCCAATTAACTACCAGAAAACTGGAAGTGGCTCTGTGGCTTAAAGTGGTAGAGCACCAACCTTGAGCAAAAGAGCTCAAGGACAGCATCCAGGTCCTGAGTTCAAGCCCCACAACCATCACCACCACCACCACCACTCACAACAACAAAGAACAAGAAGAACACAAATGCCAGAAGGTCATTCCCATAGCCATCACAGTCTACCAATCTCTGCACAAACAGCCTGTGTCCCTCTAGTCCTGAGCTACTCATGATTCTCCTGGTTGCAAACTGAAACATGTGACTTGACCAAATTGTGAGTTTCACTACCTGCACCAGGACCAAGTCCAAATTCACCCAAGATAAAAATCATCTTTATCTCAATCACAGCTTTTCTCTCACCTACTCCTCCCCAGTCTTGCTTGGAGGACAATTCCTTGAGTGTCCTAAGGTGGTGTTGTCCCCCATTTCCCAGCCTTTGCGCCCTCCTCCCATGCCCAACACCGTCTATTTGCTTGCTGACAACTCAGATCTGCTGCTGTGCTGTGAGCCGTTGTGGGGTTGCTTTCTGTGCTCCCTTGTTCTTCCTCTGACTCCGGTCCTCTTATATCACCTTTTTAGAATCAATAAAAGTGTCTTTCCAATTCTTTTTTTTTTTTTTGGGGGGGGTCCAGTTGTGGGCCTGAACTCTGGGCCTGGGCACTGTCCCTCAGTTCTTCAGCTCAAGGCTAGCACTCAAGGCTACCACTTGAGCCACAGCGCCACTTCCAGCTTTTTTTTTCTGCTTATGTGGTGCTGAGGGCCTCATGCATGCAAGGCAAGTGCTCTACCACTGAGCCACCTTCCCAGCCCTGTCCAATTCTTTTCTAGCACCCAGCGCTGTGCTAAGAGATTGCATGCTAGAGATCAGTCAGTCCTGCACTCATTCCCTTGGGAGCAGGGAAACTATTTCCAGGGGGCATCTGATTGACTTCAAAAAAAATTTAGGGACAGGCTGGGCTCCAGTGTCTCACACCTATAATCCTAGCTTCTCAGGAGGCTGAGATCTGAGGATCACAGTTCAAAGCCAGCCCAGGCAGGAAAGTCCATAAGACTCTCTTCTCCCATGAACCATCAGAAAACCGGAAGTGGTGCTGTGGCTCAAGTGATAGAGTGCTAGCCTTGGGCTGAAGAGCTCAGGGACAGCACAGCGTCCAAGCCCAGAGTTCAAGCCCCATGACTGACAAAAAAAAAAAAAAAATAGGACTGGGGCATGATGTAAAGGCCTCAAGCCCCAGCAGCCCAAGTACATGCTGCCTGGGGTGGAGGACTTTAACCAGCCAGAAAACTTTCATCTCCCTGGCTTCTTTTATAGCCCTTAATTACCATCAAGTTTCCACTTGACTCACTGAGGAATTTGAACTCCAATGTGGGTCATCTTCAACTCTGGACTGTCAGAAAGGTAAACTGAGGCATGGTAAAATATTTATTTGCACAAACAATGTTTCATGAATCGGACCACTCTTAACCTGGTGATTCAGGGGCTCCACTGAAGGAAGCTAAGAGCACTTTGTAGGACCTGTGTAGGTGGGGTGTTTGCTTGGCTACTGTTATACAGTTGTCCTATTTGGTCTGCCCCATCAGAAAGTCCCTAGTGACATAAGTTGGTCCGCTCCTTCTGATTGAGCTGATACAAAGGACAAGTCCTATTTTTCTTCAGTGTAGACTTTTTTAAGGGGCTGAGGGGATAGCTCAGTGATAGCATGAATGAGGCCCTAGGTTCAGTCCCCAGTAACTAAGTAAACATATAGACAAACTAGCTCAAGTTGTATAAATGTGTGAGCCACTTAGGTCACTTACCCTAGACCTCCCTAGGTTTGTCTCCTAAGGACACTGATGACCTGGTCTCCCTTCTCATGGTGTAGATCATCCTCTCAACAAAGCTGAGAATTCAAATAATATGGCATGTATGCTGCAGGCACAGCTGGGAGGAAGTCAGGAGACATTATCAACAGTTCACTGGGGAGGTTATCACCTGCAAGGCCAAGCAGTGAACCCTTATCCAGAACCACAAGGTAATCGTTACCCCGAAGAACAAGACCGTTGACTTTTAATCCTGACGGCAATCAAACAATTCCCAGTACCTATCACTGGAAAGTGTTGATTCCTCTGAAAATAGGTAATCCACTAGGGATGGAACCACCATGACTTAAAGGAGAATAATGGGTCAAGAATGTAAAATTCCACTGGGTGTTGGTGGCTCACACCTGTAATTCTAGCTACTCAGGAGGCTGAGGTCTGGGGATTCAAGGCCAGCCAGGGCAGGAAAGTCCATGAGACCAATTAACTAGAAGTGGTACTGTAGCTCAAGTGGTAGAGAGCTGAAGAGCTCAGGGACTGTGCCCAGGCCCAGAGTTCAAGCCCCACAACCAACAAAAGTAAAAGAATGTAAAATTCCTCAGAGCAAAGAATAGCAGGAGAACCAAAGAACCAAAGAAATCAGTCAATGGAGGTGGGACTTGTCAGGTGAAAGATTTGCATTAAAGATCCATCAAATGCCATACATTATTTCTAATTATTAACATGGACACTACATATTTTACCAATAAGAGCACAGGAGTCTAAGTTGTTCATTTCAGATTGTATTGCTTGGCAAGAATTCAAGAAATCACTCTACAAAGAAGACAAAAGAAAGCCATTTGGGGTCTCCTTTCAGTCGAAAGGAAGGTTAGATGAGATTTTTAAATGTCCACGGAAGCATCTTTAGATGGTGTAATGAAGACAGGATACTGAGGCCTGATTGTGCTTCATTCTGAAAATCAAAGCAAGTATTCCTGCCCCATATTCCAGATGAGGAAACTGGACATGCAAAACATGAGCTACAGAATCTCAGTGATTCACATGTGAGCCAAAAGCCCTTATGTTCGCATTCAAAACTGGCATTGCACAATAATATAGATTCCTAATAATACCTTACATTTTAATGTTTCACTTAGCATAACACTCAAGAGCAGATTCCATGAAAAGTCAGGAAGGAAGAAAAAACAATACACTGAAGTAGGCCATAAATACACGTAGGACTTAGAGGTTCCACAGCTGTCCACGACGGCAGGTTGCAAAGTTAACTGAACAAAGAGAGCCTCTATTTTTATTCTTTGGTCAGCCGTGGGGCCTAAACTCTGGCCCTCAGCTCTTCAGCTCAAGGTTAGCACTCTACCACTTGAGCCACAGTGCCACTTCTGGCTTTTTCTGCTTACGTGGTGCTGAGGAATTGAACCCAGGGCCTCATGCATGCGAGGTAAGCATTCTACCACTGAGCCACCTTCCCAGCCTAGAGCTGTGCTTTCAGAAGGAGATCCATGAAGGCCCCTATATCCTTCTAAAGAAAAACAACTCGCTTGTCTGAGGTTTGATTCTTTTATTTCTCCCTTCCCACAACCAGTAAAAAAAAAAATACAAAACTGATACAAGGATCTCATTTTAAAAATCAGAGTGTAATGAAAGCCGCAGCCAATGCCTGGTTTTAACTTACATATTTACAGACGGGAGGAAGGCAAGATGGCTAAGGAGTCACATTTAAAAGGCAGCATTACAAATATACAGAGATGCTCTTTCACACAGGAGCCCTGCCTCATTTCCAAATGAGATACTAGGAAACAAATCACACTATTTACTATATAACTTATGAAAACTGCTGTACAGTTGCGTGACTATAAATATGGGGTAGAAACAGATGTGTTTGGGAATTGATATTTACATAGGGGTAGGGTCAGAAGGCTCAGCTGAGCACCCCACCCTGTTCAGATGGTGATGTTGAATGGGGGATGCATGGGATCTTTGGGGTCTAGCTGTCTCCTCCCTGCTTCCTAGGTAAGGCTGAGGCTCACCTGCTTGATGAGACAGGCGATGGTTGAGGCTGAGAAATGGTGTGAATGGGATTTTGAAGCCAGGTACCAGTGGTTCACGCCTGTCATCCTACCAACTCAGGAGGCTGAGATTGGAGGATCTAGGTTCAAAGCCAGCCCTGGCAAGGAAAGTCCATGAAATTCCTATTTCCAAGGAATCACCAGAGAAATAGAAGTGGAGCTGTAGCTCAAGTGGTAGAGCACAAAAGCTCAGGGACAGTGCCCAGGTTCTGAGTTCAAGTTCCAGGACTGGCACACACAAAAAAGGAAAACAAAATAGGGGATTCTAGAAAGTACCTGGGGTGCAGAACACATCCCCTTAACGACAGCTACCTGTGCATCCTGCTGAGCTGCACAATCACGGTTCAGTGGCCAGAACCCCATTTCATTCACACCATTTTTCGCCCTCAGCCAAGCCCTGGTCTCCTGCTCCTGGGGTATGTAAAACTTTCTTGGAGAATGCCTCGAGAGCTATCTCCCCAAATGCTCCCCACCCCACAAAGGAGGGCAACAGGGGTGCCAAACAGCCCAGGTGTGGCTCCCATTCCAGAAAGAAACCCAAGGATGCCAGGTGAGGAAACCCTGTGTGGGACTAGAGTGGGGAGCGCTGGAAATCAGGTGGGAAGCCCCACACCTTGTCCAGTCTCTCAACATCCAGTTTTCCCTGCTCAGCTGCTCGTGGGATCAGAGACCTTTGTACATATATATATACACCAACTCTTACAGAGGCCCTTGGAGAACCCTCCTTAATCCCTTGGTTTGGGCCTTTCCCTTCTAAGGAATATGCTGGAAGTTTAACAACAGATCTAGTGTGTCCTGGGGAGTGGACTTGGTCATCAGTCTGGCTGGGTTTGTGTTCTAATTCTCCCTATGCCTTCTGGGAGAGAAAGAGCAAGGGAGCGAGCGGTTGGGATGAGGCTGACCTACATACAAGCTGTCGTGCTGGGCCAGGGGAAAGACAATGAAAGTAGATGTCACCCCTGCTTCCTCACCCCTCAGCCGGCCTAGAAGGCGGTGCTGATCGTAATGGTTTTCATGTCCAGTGTTTCCACTTGGGCCTTGTCCTCATCCAGGGCCTCTCTGCTCATGGCTAAGTTGTCAAAGGCTTCGGGAGCCTTGACAGGGACTGCCTGGTCCTCGGGCCCCTCCTCCAGGTCCTCACAGCACTTGCTGCAGCGGCAGCACTTGTTACAGCCGCACACCATGCAGCACACGCGGCAGCACACGCGGCAGCAGCAGCAGCAGCGCCTCTGGAAGCAGGTGGTGGCCAGGGAGATGTAGCGGTCCCAGGGCTTCAGCGAGTGCATCCAAATGGGCAGGAAGTTCCAGTCCCGGAGCCTGAGCGGCAGGATGCGCGGGCAGCGAGATTGCAGCATGCGGAGGCAGACCACCAGCAGGATCAGCAGGATGATGGGCACCCCCACCCCCACCAGCACTGGCCAGCCGGCCAGGGACAGGCCGAACACCGCCAGCGGGGTCAGGAAGAAGAAGAAGATCAAGTAGAAGATGGCAAACCAGCGGTACTTGGCAGAGATGTTACCCAGGCCCTTGGCCAGGCGGATGGGCAGGCGGGTGAATGGGATTGGGTACCACAGCAAGATGCCGGAGATGTTGAAGAAAAAGTGGCACAGGGCGATCTGAAACACAGGAGGTTGGAGTTTTAGCGCTATTTCATTGTTTGTTGTTGTTTGTTCACTTTTTTCTAGGCTCCCAATAGCAGGCCACCACAGAGGAGAAGCAGCCCCGGGGGCCATAGTCCCTGTGTCAGGGCCACTGTAGCAAGCACTTTAGGGGAGATACTGAGTGACGGACACTTGTAAGGGATGAACAAGAGATCTAGTCCCCCATGCCCCTTAAGGTAAGGGAGACCATGAAGTAGGACTCAACCCAGGTCATCCTGTACTTGTCTACTTTCCATGGGCATCACCAGGCACCAGGTGTGGACTAGCTTTGTCATATATATTAGCTTCTAGCCACAAGATTGTTGAATACAACACTGATTGCCAACTTCTATATTAATTACATGTCAAGGTGATAAGGGGTTGTATCAAATGCATTATCAAAATAAATCTCACGGCTTTTTTCTTCTTAAAAATGGCCAGGCACATTAGAAATGACAAAAATAATGGCATTTGCAGGGAAATGGATGGAGCTAGAAGGAATCATATTGAGCGAGGTAAGCCAAGAGCAAAGAGACAAACGGTACATGGTCTCCCTGATAAGTGGATGCCAAATCCAAAATGTTAGGTGATAAGACAAAACTAACAAGACTTAAGAAACAAAGAACTCCCACTCATCTGGTCGAACCACTACTAAATATACCCATGCTGCTGATCACATGTATGGTGTATAACATGTGAACACCGTTATATATTACAGACTGTGATAGACAATTTGCTCCAGGAAAGTTAGAATGAACTTGTGACTTTAAATGAGCATCATTATTCCACAATACTGTGAAATTCAGAAAATTATGTAATCACTTAATCACAATCAAAAAAAAAAAAAGAACCTTGGGGAAGGTAGGGAGGGAAGGGATGGTAGGGGGAAAACAATGGAGGGGGTAACAATGTTCAATAGGAAGTGTACTCATTACCTCACTCATGTAACTGTAACCCTCTGTATAGCAGCTTTACAATAAAAAAAAATGGCCAAGCACCAATGGTTCACACTAGTAATCCTACCTACTAGAATCTGATGATCACAGTTCAAAGCCAGCCCAGGCAGGGAAGTCTGTGACACTCTTATCTCCAATTAGTCAAGGGGAGAGGTCTTTGAGGATTTACACTCTGAGCTTCTGTTCTATCTCCCTGTGGCTTCTCTCAGTCCCATCTTTTGGACAGAACATGGAAAGCCATAGATTTCACAAGACTACGGATGGGCTTGTATCTACCCTACCCACAGAACCCCAGCCCTGTGTCACAGGTCCTGACCTGGAGTGAACTCTTCAGTGTGTTGCCTGGGCTGGCTAAGGCAGCCAGGATGGCAGTGGTGGTGGTGCCAATGTTGGAGCCCAGCGTGAGTGGATAAGCCCGCTCGATGGTTATCACCCCAATACCTGAGGAGAAAAATCACAGGCAGGTGAGCATGCGCCATTGGCATGAGGGATGTCGGGACACAGCAGTGGTGGTGGGAGAGAGAAGCCAGGAGGAGCTCACCGATCAGTGGAGTCAGAGCAGACGTGAACACGGAGCTGCTCTGCACAATGAAGGTCATGCCGGCTCCCACGAGGATGGCCAGGTAGCCAGTCACCCATGCGAAGGGAAAGGGGAAATCTGGATGATAGAAGAGGAAAACATAAAAAGGAAATTTCATATTATTCAGAACAGGAATCCAAACAGCTCCTGAGAAGAAGTCCAGTCATATACATAGAAAACCTACAAGGGACATAGCCCAACTCCTGGCTGTCTAGAGTTGATCTGGCTTTCTTTTCTCGGGGCTTTGCCATCCTGCAATGGAAGCTGATGCCTCCTCCTACAGCCCACTCAGCACCCCCTGGACATTCTCCCAGCTTATCAGATCCAAGAAAGAAACACTATGGCTCAGAGGCCATTCAAAAGGAGGCCCAAAGAAGCCCCTCTGGGTTGTGCAGCACAGGTGGGAAGTGCACCTACCAGTGTTGAGGGTCTTCTTGATGACCACAGCCACCTGCCCTTTGAGCACAGAGCCCAGGAGCTTGACGATCATGATGAGGCAGCCGCAGAGGACCAGCAGGGAGATGGAGAGCAGGATGATGCCCACAGCAAGATCAGGGAGGTTGAAATTCACGAAAATGTGCTGGCCTAGAGACACAGAGAGTCTAACTAGGAGGTGGTAGGGGGCTGTCCCAGCTAAAGATTCTTCCTGGCTTAAATCAGGGTCATTTTTTTAGTATCTAGACCTACGGCAGCTCAGATTATGACCCATCCCACACTCTTTTGCAGTGGAGAACGCCACAGACTCTTGGCCTCATTCGGTGCCTTGCATGGGGCCTGCTATATACAGGACTCTCGGTGAATACCCACACATACGTATAAGTCATGCCCATCTTACACCCCTCTCTCCTGTCCTGGAGACCAGCTGGCTGAGTGCCACTCACATTTGGCAATGTTCTCCTTTTGAGTCACATTCTTGATGGTCCAGGTGTGGATGCCATCCGTCCAACAGAGGGACGCAGAAGTGCAGTTGACTGGTGAGGGGACAGTGACATTCATCTCCGTCTAAACAACAAACATGAGAAATGTCCGTGACACCCACTTCTGGTAGAGAAAGGTCAGCAATGAGGGGAGAAGGAAAAGCCCTGGGCACACAATGAGACTTTCTCATTGAGTCTCTTTCACATCTGGAGACTTCGTCTTCATTGGGAAAGTTCTTGGACCAGCTAGGACCAGCTGGTGTCTCGTGTGTGTGTGTGTGTGTGTGTGTGTGTGTGTGTGTGTGTGCGTGTGAGTTTCCAGTTTGGGGCACATAAGGAAAAGAAACATGAACATATGTACACCCTGGAATCAAGGAGAAGCCAAAACTCTACTGCATGGCAAAGAGAAGAAAGAATATTCTAGAAGAGTCTGGAAAGTAAGCGATTCTTCCTGGTCCCAGCACCTGTAACAGTGCAACAAACTCTTGCAAAACCAGAGCAGAGAGACAGACAAGGATAAATAAACCTCCAGGCAACAGGAACAGAAGGACAAGTCAGTTGTCTCTGTGGCCTAGGATAAGGCAAAGATGGCTGCTGGTCCCACTGCCCAAGCCCTCTTCCATATTTCTGTAAGAACTTGGTTGCCAAGATTCACCAGCCCAGGGGCTGGGAAGGTGGCTCAGTGATAGAGTGCTTGCCTTGCATGCATGAGGCCCTGAGTTCGATTCCTCAGCACCACATAACCAGAAGAAAGAAAAAAAGCTGGGAGTGGCGCTATGGCTTAAGTAGTAGAGTGCTAGCCTTGAGCTGAAGAGCTGAGGGACAGTGCCCAGGCCCAGAGTTCAGGCCCATGACCAGACCCCCCCCCCAAAAAAAAAGATTCACTAGCCCAGTAACATTTCTGAAAAGCTTACCACATTGGTCAACGTTTTACACCAAATCTTGATCAGACTCTTGTTTTGGGCTGAAGCATCATTCATTGCAATTTGGTGGATGACATTTTTATCCAGCTGGGGAAGACAATGGGTAGAAAGTCAGCATGCATGGCCTCAAAACTGGTTTAGGACAGAAGTGGAAGGGGGTGGCTAGGAGAGACCTCTGAGAGGAGCCTGAGCTCGATTCGCCTTAGTCAAATGTGCCCCTCCTTCCCTCAGTCCCTTCAGTGCAAGCCCCAGATATTAGCAGAGAGGCTCAAGAGATGAAGGGTTTTATGACAAGGACACTGGTATGGACCTCACTGTTTGAGTGACAGAGAAAACCGGAAGGTAATATTGAAAGCTCAGATCCCTTCTGTCTCTTTCTCCCTCTCTTTCTCTCCAGGGCAACATTTCTAATGGCTTTCATTTTGATATGGCCAAGAGATGGCTCCTGGCTGAAAGGGCAATAATCACTCTCCTTTGCTAGGTATTAGATAAGACAATCAGTGAGCCCAGAAAAAGTGGTCTCAAGTGTCTCGTCAAGCATGGACTCATCATACCTCGCCCCAAGCTGAAAAGCCACATATGGAAGCCAAGGCAGAGAATACTACCAAGTGTCCCTAAACTTCTGCCTCCCTTGGCCTTTGTCAGAGGCTACCCCTCAGCAATTCAGACGCTCATCTCTCCAGAGTCAGTGGAGATGGCACAGGGCAGGCGGACAGTCATCCTGGTCAATGGCTACCTGGATGATGAGCTTTGTGAAAGGATCTGTGATGACTTTCAGAAGGGCGGGGGCATCCTCTCCATTCTTGAAGTTGAAGGACTCCACCACCAGGTTGGTTAGGAGCTCCAGGTAGTGGGTGATGGCCTCCAAGGGCAGAAGCACCAACACAGACAGCCAGTTGAAGAAGTCGTGGACAGTGGCCCCTGCAAAGGCCCTGGGGAAACCCCAACAGCTAGATCAGCCAGTGCACAGGTGAGCATCACTGATCTACATGTACACAGGTGTGCAGTCGGGGGCGGGTGGGGGGAAGCACGGCATGGGCCCTGTGAGCAGGTTGAGGCTGGAATGCTCCTCCCCCTCCAGCTACTCCCTGAAGAATTATGACAAGGTTACTTTCAGTTGTGTGTATCTAGTGCTACCTGCCCTTGGAGATCAGGTAATAAATAGTAGGCAATAAATAGTCAAATTCCTCTACACCAGGGAATTCTTAACTATTAAAAAAATAAACCTGGCACTGGTGGCTCATGCCTGTTATCCTAGCTATTCAGGATCTAAGGATCATGGTTCAAAGCTAGCCTAGAAGGCTGAGATCTTGAGGATTGAGGTTCAAAGCCAGTTCTAGTAGTAAAGTCTGTGAGTGTCTTATCACTAATAAACCACTCAGAACCACAGATTTTCTCACTAGTAGGTAGCACACTTTATGAGCAATCATGGAATTCTGGGTTTGAGCCCTAGCATCCCCAAAAATGAAAAAAAAAAGTTGCTGTTTGGTGCCATATCTGAGGGTATTCAGAGCTGCTCCACCCTGTCCCGTTGCCAGGTGAAAAAATCCGGCTCTAGGTTCTTCCCCTGATACACAGATATATCATAGATGTCGACATAGCAGAAACCCCTTAAGACCAAATGGTTTGGGGGCAGAGAGAGAGTGAAAACACTTAACTTCGCTAGGAAAAGAAATACATTGAGAGTGCAAATTTCACTATTAGCTGGTGTTTCTTAAAAATACTGTAAACAACCCCTCCCACTCATCCCTTTTTCAATAAAAAGAAAAGTAAAAAAAATTATTGTTATTCTTCCTGAGACACTCATGCAAAGCTGCCATAGAACTATACTTCCTAGTCGTTTCCTAAGCAACACATACCCGTATGATGCAGTCATCATTATTCTAGAAATATAAGGAATAATAATCCAAAGCTCTACAGGAAAGATATGGGAAACACTGAAACATCCACATAGGATGAGCTAAACAAACTGCAGTCCTCCATAGCTATGTCCCCCAGGCTTTCCTGAGGCAAAGAAGGCAATCCATCTAAGAGTTATGAGAACCCCAAATCTGGAATGCAAATGCCTATCTGCAAGCCCTCAATGATGAGGTCACTTCATCTCCTTGAGTTTCAACATGGGTAAATTGGGGTGTAGGAAAGCCTACGTGGCTTCATGAGAATCAAATGAAGAGAACGCCCTGTTTAATGTGTACTGTTGTGGCCATCGGGACATTTCATCAGGGACCAAATGAATGGCTGATGCCGTCTGCTAACTACAAATTCACCAGCAGACAGCTGACGTCTCTGTCTTCCCCAAACCACACCATCGCATCACATTGACACATTGGGGGACACTTCTAGAAACTCTCCCAAGGATTAGAAGAGAACCCAGGAGTTCCGCTTCATTTTACATTAACTTTTCTCTCTCTTTTTTTTAAGAAGTATTCACACCACCTGGGTATATATTCCACCTGCTCTATTTTGAGGTCTTCTATGGCCACAAACTCTCTATTTGTTCTTTCATTGGCAGGCAAATGAAAAACAAAGAAAAAGTGGCACTGTTGCTCTTGGCCAAAAATAAATGTTTTAGGAAGTTATAATTATTTATGATTCATTGAGACATCAACTCATACCACCCAGCAGCTAGAGTCTAGCTGGAACTTGCCTTGTGTGAGGTGGACCAGGTGCCAGGCATTTTGCTAAATACCCACCTGCCTGCCTGGGTTTAATCCTTAAGATAACACAATGGTGATAGATACTGTTATTATCCTGCCTCTGCAGACTGGGAATCAGAGCTCTCGGCTTGGAGTCCATCCCTGCTGGACTCCCTGAGGTTTCCACAGAAGCTCTAGTTTAGGAGCCCTAAACCAAGATGGCCACTGGGGCAGGCTGACCCCCACCCCCCCAAGATCTCTCAGTTGCCAAGGAGATGTTGGTTCTGAATGTCCTACCTTCTGAACTCACTCCGGTCTCCTGCCTGCATGAGCGCCACAATGGTGTTGGTGATGGATGTCCCAATGTTGGCTCCCATGATGATGGGGATGGCGGCCCGCACGGTCAGCACTGAGGCGGTGGAGAAGAGCCAGTGACAAGTTTAAGAAGGGAGCCTGTCTCGGGCTGAATTCACCCACACTGCAGTCCTCTGAAGCAGCTGCTCTGAGCCTCCTTAGAGGTTAAATTGGCTCAACATAGAAATCTGAACGTGTCCTCTCAGTTTGGAGGTACCTATACAAGTCCCCCAAGGCTCCTCCTACAGACTGACCCCAATGCCTTTATTCCTCCCTGCTCCCTGTTAGGGGATGTAAGGCCAGCTTACAGGAGACCTAGAGCCAGCCAGTGTTTGGGGACGCAGGTCAGATGTATGTAGCATCAAGGCTCATATTAACATGCGTCATCCACCTGCTAGACATCAAACACTTGCACATTTATGAGACCAATTCCTGGCAGGAAATGGCTAACAAAAAAAATCTCTGCATTGCTGCAGTTTTGACATACAAAAGAGTAACATGCTTGGCTCAAGCCTGTAATCCTAGCTACTCAGGAGGCTGAGATCATGAGGATGCAGAAAAGCCCATGATATTCTCATTACCAATTACCAGCAAAAAGCCAGAAGGGGACTTGTGGCTCCACAAGATTTTGACCTAACCAACCCAAATATCAAGCAGCTAGGAGTTTGAACACTACCAGCTCCAGTTACCCCAACACCCATATGTGTGATGTGATTAGACATCTTCCACTGAAAGCCCTGATAGGTAAAGTTCCAAGGAAGCGCTCTAAATCAATGGAAGTGATCTGTATTGGTGTGGTTCTGTGGCACATGCAGATAGGGCAATGGAGGAACTACATTTATATTTGTAACTTTAATCAATTACAGATCAGTGAAATAAAACAGCCACTTTGTGGCTTGTGGCTGCTGGGCTGGGCAGGGCACTATTGATCTAAAGAATTCAGCAGGGTCATAAAACATCAGGATTCTTTTCAGACCCAGCCATCCACATGGAAGCAACAATGGATTGTTTCCCAGATGGACCAGATGGGCAGACCAAGGAAGTCTGGCCTGATAGGTCCAGAGAAGGTTTCAGGCTTTCAGGGAAGACAGAGGTGCTTGGAACAATTCCGGGGGACCCAGACTCACATGAGGAGGACACCATGCTGACAATGATGGACGAAGAGGTGCTGGAGCTCTGTACCATGACTGTCACCAGCACCCCAATCACCAGTCCTGCCACAGGGTTGGACATGATGGAGTTGTTGCTAAAGAACTGCCCAGCCATCTTTCCTGAAAGACAAAGCAATGGCCCGTGTTGAGGCCGGGGAGTGAGGTGGACAAGGGGTCCAGACCACTTCCCAAAGCCAGCTGGTTATGGGGAAGGAGCCCAGCGACTAGCCCTGCTTCTGTCTTCCCTCCACTGCCTTGATGAGCAGAGACTGTCCATGTGGGGCTCCTGGTTCCTTTTATCTCTTTACCCTTCAGTTCCCCCTCTTTCCCTGTCTAATCAGCAAGCCCTTTGGTGGCCTCTGATCACAGACCTGGCCTCAATTCGTGATATCCCAAGCCTTCTGCCTCTGCAATTTTCCCCATGCACCAAAAGACTGATTTTGCCTCCTGAGCAGATCTTATTCTTCTCTATCCACTCCTAGCTCCAGGCTGGCTTTGGTTCTAGCTTTGGTCTATGACAATAATATTCTTGGGTTTTTTTGTTGTTGTTGTTTTGTTTTGGATCCGGTCGTGGGGCCTGAACTCTGGGCCTGGGCGCTGTCCCTCAGCTCTTCAGCTCAAGGCCAGAGCTCTACCACTTGAGCCACAGCGCCACTTCCGGCTTTTTTTCTTTTTGCTTGTGTGGTGCTGGGGAATCGAACCCAGGGCCTCATGCATGCAAGGCAAGTGCTCCACCACTGAGCCACCTTCCCAGCCCTATGACAATATTCTTTCTTCTCTCATCATCTTCAGGCAGAAAAGATGAGACAGCAGGGACTCTTCAGAGAATAGAGGGTTAAACTAGTTTCCTGGATCATGTGAACAAAGGCAAGAGGCTGATAGCTTAGAATGGGTTCCAGACCTGGCTTGTGGCCTACCTTAGACACTTAGGTGTCTATATTTATAGACCTGTGTCCTCTTGGAGGGTGTAGACTTTGCAAGATGGATTCTAATCCTACGATCCTCTACAAACACTTGAAAACATTCTGTGGCTTCAGAGGGCTTGTAAGATGGGACCAGCTGAACACAATCTGCTTATGACATCCACAACCCCTTGGCCGCAGCCCCAGAGCCTTGAGTCCTTACCTCCAACCAACTGGAAAGCACTGCTGAGGACATCCAGGGAGCACACAAACAAGTAGAGAAAGCCCAGGAGCAGAATGAATTTCCCAATTCCTTGCAAGATACAGAGAATCTTCCCTCTGGTGTCCCTCTCTGCAGAGAAGAGTCAGGAAAGGGGTTTTAGTGGGTGCAACTCTGATTAGACTAGCAGTGAGCTCCTGGTTGCTCCCTTCCCTCCCCTCCCTCCCCTCCCCTGCCAGGGCCATGCAGTGTTTATGGGTCTAAAGAGCCTGGATGGGCTGTGTCCACTGCTGCAGCTTAAGTTGCTTTATTGAATCTCCACTCCCACCCTGCCCATTTCTAAAGAAGAAATGCTCTGGGAAGAATGCTCTGGGCTCCAGGACACAAACAGCAGACCAGACTCCACGCTCAGTTGAACCACAGTGTCGTGGTGGGGGAGGAGATAGGGGAGCAGTTTAGAGCACTTACCATCTCTAAGTACAGGGTCAACACTAATGGCTACAAAGCACTTTCTAGGAGACTATAGTGATCACAGGCATCCTTGGTGGAGCCATACTGTTGGTCTCCATGCATCCTTGGCTGTTGTTTTCTCTGCTTCCCTTCAAACTGATTCTTGCCTCCTCATCCTCCCACTGACCACCCCCCACTACCTCCTGCTTGCTAGATTTCTGGTTTGCAGGCTGGGGTGCTTCTAGCCAATGCCTGGGAAAGAGAGGGGCATTTTCTCACATGCCAACTAGTCTTGCTGAACCTTCTCTGCTTCAGAAGGCTGAGACCTGAAAAATCATGGTTCAAAGCCAGCCCAGGCAGGAAAGTCCATGAACTCTATCTCCAACCAACATGAAGCCAGAAGTGGAGCTGTGGCTCAAGTGGTAGAGTGCCAACCTTGAGCAAAAAAGCTCAAGGATAGCACTCAAGCCCTGAATTCAAGCCCCAGTACTGACCAACAAAAGAGGAAAGAGAGAAAGAGAAAAAGAAAGGAAAGGGAAGGAAAGGAAGGGAAGGGAAGGAAAGGAAGATGGATGAAGAGGAAGGAAAGGAAGGAGGGAGGAGTGGGAAGGAGAGGGGAGGGGAGGGGAAGTCTTGTTACTACAATAGTGACTTGGTCAAGACTCCAGGACCTGGCACATTGGTTGAATCAGATAACAACAAAATGTCTCAATTGTCGAATACTTGAGAGTCTCAAAGAGTGACACACAGGAGATGAGGGATGTGGCCCCCACTGGCTCCCACTGGCCTCCAGCTTACCTGACCACTTGATCCCAGTGTCTCGGAGCTCCGGCATATCCCAGGGGTCCACGTCAGTGGTCTCCTCCACCAGAGTCGCCGTGGAGTAGGAAGGCAATAGTTCAATCTTGGGTACTGGAGTCTCACTGCCATCTGCCCAAAAGAAGCAACGAGGCCGGCTGAGTAAGCAGACCTAGGTCTCAGGCCTCAGACCCAGGGAGACTCAGTCCCTGTTGGGAGGAAGAGGGGGGTGCATGGGACTTACTTTTGATGATGTCTTTGGCTGCGGAGGCTGACTGTGGATTTGAACCCCCTTCGATGTATTTATTGGGGTTTGGCTGGGCATTTTCCAACTCTGGCCAAGGAGCCATGGTCTGTGGATAGGAAGACAGAACTTAAAGGAGCAGTTGACAGTTTCAAAGCTTCTACTCTGGGAGCAGAGGGAAGAGCACTGTGCTTCATCCTGCTAAGTGGGAACACCACATTTTGCTGCTTAGAGTCCTTCCTGGAAGTCCGAAAGCTGTTACTAAATGGAGACCATTCTATCTACTCTCAAATCTAGAAGTACAACACTGTCTCTCTTGGGTTTGTTTAAGTCCTGTCTGTCTCACCTGGGCTGATTTAGACAATGATCCATATCATTTCATGGTAAGATCAGGTCCTTAAGATCCCTCCCCAACTGTTCAGATCATATACAGGTCACTGTTGATTTGCCCGGCTCAGTGTACAGAACCAGTGTTACTTACCGCACAGTACACATAATCTATGCTAGTTCAACCTATCATCTGGGCCTTTGGTGACACCAGTGGCATGTCGGGCCTGGTTTAAAATCCTGCCGTAGGTGCATAGGCAGGCTAGATCCTTTTATCCTTGAGTAAAGGGTATTACTTTCCCATTTGTAAGATGGTTATGAGATTAATGATGAGATTAAGGGCCTGGGAAGTGTCTGGCATGAAGCCTGCTTTAGATTAATAGCAATTATTATTGTGCCATGCTGCCAGGGTTAATAACCCTTTATCAGAACACTGTCTTCCGCAAGCTTCTAGACTTCCTTGTCTTTTCCACAATGCCTCTCTCAGTGAGCCTGGCTCTTGACACACTTGAAGTTCACTCTGTGCAGTCCCTGTCCTTCAACAGGTTCAGACAAAGCAATTCAAAGAACAGAAAGTCTCAGAATTGTACTGGCTAAAATTCAAGGGTTCAGTCCGGCATATGCAAATTGAGATTGACAAGTATCCCGAGTGCCAGTAAAACTATTTTTTCAAAATAATGATACACTGTGCTGGAGAAGATGTGATGAGATGAACATTTCTGGAAGATCTAAAAACAGTTGGCAAGTGCCCACCATATCTTACATTCATTCATCCTGGCACTCTGCCCGACTCGTTTCACTACTAAGAACTGGGAAGCCAGGAATAGTAACTCTCAGAAGATCAGAAATGTTGTTCAGATCAATTTGGAGAGGACTTCCCAGAATCTGGGTCAGTCTCCTTTCCTCTTCCTGTATTAGTCTATTTCCTGCCTACCAGAGTACAAGCACTACCAAGAATGGGACTTTGTCTCATTTTTGTTGCTGTGCCTCAGGGTCTGGAAGGTAGAGACAATGCCCAACAAATACTTATTGAAGGTATGGAAGCATGGCTCAAGTGGTAGAGTGCCTAGGACCTGAGTTCAAACCCCAGTATCACCACAAACAACCACAAAAACTAATTGAAAATGAGTGCAACCCAGACCAAAGGATATTTGTGTGCCATTCAAAGATTCTAAGGGGGCTGGGAATGTGGCTTAGTGGTAGAGTGCTTGCTTACCATCCATGAAGCCCTGGGTTCTATTCCTCAGTACCACATAAACAGAAGAAGCTGTAAGTAGTGCTATGGCTCAAGTGGTAAGGTGCTATACCCTTAAGCAAAATGTTCAGGGACAGTGCCCAGGCCCTGAGTTTAAGCCCCAGTACTGGCAAAAAACAAAGTAATTAAATAAATAAAAATAAAAAGATTCTAAGAAAAATACTCTAGACTACAAAGAGAAGACATTTTTGCCCCTGTCTCCGCATAATCTCAACAAAGTAAACAGGAGCCAAAACTGTTCCGCAGGTAAGTGGAAAAATGATAGCTGCCTTTTTCCTGCTGGGATTTCCAGATTTAACCATGACAGCAGCTGCCACAGTGCTCTCCCCATCCTAAGCCTAACTGAGCTCCCCACATATTCCTCAAATGCTTACTTCTCTGGGGATTCCTGCCATCAATCATGGTGACTGACTGCCTGCAAATTCCACCAGCTCCACCTGGGAGCCTCTCCACACCATGCAGCTCCTGCTCAGGTGAGCCAAGTACCTACTTTGGCCAGATCTCACAGGCAAGCTTTGATGCAAATGAGTCTGACTCCCATTCCCTTCTTTCCCATCCATTCCCTTTCCCTCCATTCCCTTCTTCTCCAGACACACTTTCCTAAACACAGAAGGCCCACTGAGGGTCCCGTATCTGCCCACCACAGTGGGCTTAACATAGGTCCTCCTCTTCTCTGCTCTGCCACTATGAGATTCGCCTGACACTACCATGACCTGCTGTGACATATCTCCATTGACTTCTAACCCAATCTACCATAGCATCGAAGAACTTGCCAGGTGCCACGCTGGTGCTTGGCATACAGCATCTCCCTCAGTCTCTATGCAGGAAAAAGTGTCTGAGAATCACAACTGCAAAAGAAGGTCAAGAAAAAAAGGCAGGTGTCTGGCAGAAGAGAGCCAGTTCTGAAGTGTAGCTCTGTCAATGAGGCTAGGGTCTTGCTTGGAGTCCTGGGCTGTGATAATAACGTGACTCACCTTCCCCCAGCACTGATTTTGCTCATGGAATTGGGGAGAGGGAATGTAAGTTGTTTGGCTGGTAGATGATTTACACTTGAGATACAGTGTTTACATGGTGCAAGCTGATCTTCACCTTGACACTGACCTCTGAGGTCAGAAAGTTGGGGGCACAGATGTTGTGGTTATTTAGAAGCCTCCTTATACTGTCTCTCCCAGGACACTCCCCGCCTCTAGCTCAGACAACCAGACACTGCTCTAAAGGCCCAAGAGCATCTATTTCAGAGGCTAAAGAACCTTCACTAATAGATTCTAATTCTGTCTCAAAAGCTCAAGTTTGTCTTTGTGACCCTAAGCTGGCCTCCTTGCCTTTATCAACAATCTTACTAAAATAAGCATGATGTACAGAGGGATTCCAGTCACAGAAGTTAAGTAATGAGTGCATTTCTTTTTTTTATTGTGAAAACACTGTACAGAGCGGTTACAATTACATGGGCAAGAGAATGAGTACATTTCTTATCAAGCATTGTGGCCTCCTCCATGAGTGCATTTCTTTTTGGACACTGTCACCCTATCTCTCACTTTCTTCCTGTATTTCCCTCCTGCCTCCATCCACAAGCTGTATGGTTCACTTTCAACATAGTGTCTAGTAAGCACCATTGCTACATTTGTTCACCCTTTCCGTGTCCCCTCTTCCAAAGACAGATAAATGAACAAGCAAGACAAAAGACCAAGTTTTAAACCAAGCATGGTGGCACACATCTAAAATTGCAGCACTTTGAAAGGCTGAGGCAATAGGACCAGGAGCTCATCCAGGTCCCGCCTGTCACCATAGTGACAGCCTCAAAAATACTAAGCAGGTCTGCAATGAGCTATTCCAGCTAATCATGGACCTCTGAGGTTCACATACCTGCCTCTGTGAAGGAAGAATCTAAAAGTACCACCCTTGGGACTGGGAAGGTGGCTTCAGTGGTAGAGCGCTTGCCTTGCATGCATGAGGCCCTGGGTTCGATTCCTCAGTACCACATGAGCAGAAAAAAAACAGAAGTGGTGCTATGGCTCAAGTGGTAGAGGGCTAGCCTTGAGCTGAAGAGCTGAGGGACAGCACCCAGGCCCAGAGTTCAGGCCCCATGATGAGCAAAAAAATAAATAAAAGTACCACCTTTTAATACCTCTCTTTTTCCCATAATTGTAACTAAACCTCTAGGATTATTAGCATTTTACTGCTTCCCTCACTATAAGTTCTCAGGATACAGAAACCCAGTTATAATTTTCCTTCCAGGGCCTCATGGAATAAACACAATATACATAATCATATAGAGATAGATAGATAGATAGATAGATAGATAGATAGACAGATAGAACTGGAATTTGAACTCAAGGGCTCATGCTGGCTAGGCAGGTGCTCTGCCCTTCCTCCCCAGAGCCACACCCCCAGCCCAACACTTATCTTTGAAGGAAGGAGTCAGGTTGGTTTACTGAAGGACACCCTTGCCCATGTTGATTATGATGACCAACTCAACCTGAACCTTCCTCATCACCATGTATATGCAAATCGGATTGGCCTACATTGGTGAGATGGAGCAACTGGGTCAGGAAACTGCAAGCTGGATGTGAGGGCCATCCCAATGGGGAAACTCACCAGCAGTAAACAAGGACATTGACAAAGATTAAACAAAGAGTGAACAGACTTGCCCGGGATCCACTGTCCCTAATCTACAATACTATGAGCAATGGGTGGCGTTGCACCTGTGTACAAGCTGTACAGAAAGGAACAGGACGTGATGGCATGGAACCCATCCAGCAAGAATGTCCTCAAGGTCTCTGTGAGAGGCCTGCAGTGCCTGTATCCACCTCCAGAGAACTCTTTTAGCCTAAGCCAACACCATGGGAAAGAAAGCAGAGCACACTGGCTCTACTCCTACCTCTTGGGAATCCTCATATTCCCTATTCTCAGTCCAGGGATTTGTTACAAGTTTCCTCTTTAACAGACACTTACTCCAATGTGGCACTAACCTCCCTCACTCAGTATTTGCTTAAATCAGTTTCCTTCATCTTCCCCATCACTTTTGGGTTCACTGTGCTGGATGTAGAAGATCAGGAAGGAAACAGGTATCCCAGAGAACATTAGCCCTGCCAGCCCCTCCCTTCTTGCCCTCACCACCCCCATAGCTCTCTGCATCCAGATGTGTGGAAATATAGGGCACCTGGCATCCACCCAACCAACTCTACTCTCTGCAGCTCAGGTATGCAGGCTCTTTGCCCTCATCCCATCCAGTGGAGCTCCAGTTCAATGCAGGCTGACCCACATCCCAGAAAGCAGAGAGATTGCAGCTAAGGGCTCCACAGTTAAAGGCAGAACCTGAACGTAGGCAGCCTCCTCAGCCACGGGAATGGATGACAGTCATTTCAGGGGACCTTGGGGTCCCAGGCTATGCCAGTCTTACTCAGAAGACAGTGTCTGCCACATAGTAAAAAGCATCACTTGATAGATGAGAGGCCCGGGTTTTGCTGTATGTGAACCTGTGAATCTCCAGACTTCTGTTTCATCTGGGACAATACTCTGTCCATCAATCACAATGTGTAGGTGAAGTCCAAGCCCAGTTCCTGGCAGAACAACCACCAGAACTTCTGACATGCATTCAAAGAGCAGGAACTCATCTGTACTCTACTTTGCCCTACCATTCCCAGCTCATCTTTAGGACTTAGCACAGTAGCAGACACAATCAATGAGCCAAAAGTAGAAAGAGAAAGGCATAACCATTCACCTTCTGACAGAGCAATGCTGTGACCTCGGTCTTATTAGCAAGAAAGGGCTTCTTTTCCAGAATCCAGATAGTGAAGGAAACAAAGGCAGAGAGAAATGAAGGAACTTGCCTATAAAGTCACACAGCTGTCAGGATTTGAACCCAGAAGCCTTTCCAGAACTGGGGTCAGTGAGGAGAGATGCAGGGAAGGAATACTCCAACTCCATCAAGCTATGGGACACACGGGGCTTGGATGCAGCTCAACAGAGGCCTTGGGGGGGGCAGGGGGGTAGAAGGTGGGGGGGGGGGTGACTGACCAGTTCATAGAGGTCATTCCTGTGTAGTCATGCACTTGGCCAAATACGCCAGCCAAGAATGCTGTAATGACAGGCTACGGAGTCCCACAAAGGCTCTGAGCATACCAGAGTGCTGGACTCAGCAAACCTCAGTCTTTTAGGAATCTCTACTGCTCAGGAAGACAGTACTGAATAAGGTGGACGGAAAATGCCACCTGAATTTGAGCTCAGGGCCTGACCTGCTTCCTGAAGGAAAGGGCTCTGGGCACCTTTTCTCTCTCCCTGTCTCCCTATCTCCTGAGGACCACAACGCAATGCATTCTTGCCACCAGCCAGAAGCAACAGGACAAGAGGGGGTAAGGGGGAGCATGTTGCTCATGCCCAGGAGAGAGGGCGGCAGCTACACTGTGGCCCCCAGGCTGAGTGGTCACACCTATTCCCCTGCCCCTGCCCCATCTTTACAAATGACTGCATGTGGCTCACCTTGTGGCTCTGTTTCTCGCTTCCATACAAGCATTCAAGGGCAAGATAAACTCTCATTCTTCCTTGTGGGCTCTTCTGGGACTTGGGAAGCAGGGAAATAACGAATGCCTAGCAGTCACCCAACCCCTGCACCTTGCATTGGTCCAGCCTCTTCAGCCAGGACCTGTATAGCGCTGTCATCCATACTTAAAGCAGCAGCCAGGGCCACCCAAAGAAATGAGGCAGTGAGTTATTCTGCATTCTCTGGCCACATATACAAGGGACAACGCACATACTAACCAACCAAATATTTATCAACCAAACATCAGGTACTTTCTGTCAGGTAGAGGTAAATCTTGGACACAAATCATGTAGCCTCACAAGAAACTTCAAGTAGTTATCTTTTAGCACCAACCCTATTCTGCAGAAGCACAGACTGACTGTATTTATCCTTTTGTTTTTGTTTCTGGTACTAAGGTTTGAAATCATGGCCTCTTGCTGCTATTTGGCTTTTTTTCCCCTCCAGCCTGACACTTTACTACTTGAACCACACTTCCACTTCTAGCTATTTGCTGGTTAATCCATAAGAGTCTCATGGAATTTTTTGTCCAGGCTGGTTTTGAACCTTGATCTTCAGATCTTAGCTTCCTAAGTAGCTAGGATCACAAGTATCAACCACTAGCACCTGGTATTTAGCTTTAAGCACTAGCTTTACCAGTATTTTAGGTTGGGGGGGGAGGAGAACTGAGGCCTGGTGGAATTAATTACTAAAATCACATAGATATGATGTCTTCATATATAACTCACACGCATGCAGTCCAGTTCTCAGGAGGTCCGGGGAACTCTCCAGTACTTTGAAGAAGTCTGCTCCCTTTAGATGGGAAATAATGCCTAAGGGCATGGTGGTGGTGTTCTAGGAGTGGGTGGTCAATGTTAAAACCATGAAGATAAGAGCAAGCCTTAATAGGAGACAACTGCCCTAGGCTTCACACTGGGGAGTGGCTTCAGAAGGATCCTAGTTGGACATTGTATCTGAGTGCTTTAACTGGGCTCAGTTACCAAACAAGCACTCATATTTATGATGCTTAAAAATAAATCCAGGGCTGGGCATGTGGCTTAGTGGTAGAGTGCTTCCCTAGCATGCATCATGCCCTGGGTTTGATTCCTCAGTACCACATAAACAGATAAAGCCAGAAGTGGTGCTGTGGCTTAAGTGGTAGAGTGCTAGCCTTGAGCAGGCGTAGCTAAGGGACAGTGCCCAGGCCCTGAGTTCACAAACCACGGGACTGGGGAAAAAAATCCAATGTGGGCATGGGAGTCTACATCTGGAGTCCCGAGGGCTCAGAAGGCCGGAGCAGCAGTCTTTAAGGCCAGCTTGTGCTACATAGCTAGCAAGTTCCAGGTCAGACTTAGCCCCACAGTAAAGCTGTCTCAAAAAGAAATTAACAAAAAAACCCACCTAGAACAGATCAATGATGGCTCACACCTGTAATCCTAGCTACTTAGGAGGTTGAGATCTGAAGATCATAGTTCAGAGCTAGCTAGACTAAAAGCTGGAAGCGGAGCTGTGGATCAAATAATAGTCTTGAGCAAAAAAAGCTGAGGAATAGCCTCAGGATTAGTGCATATGCATATACACATCCACATCCACACAAGAACTGGGGATGTAGCTCAGTGGTAGAGTGCTTGCCTAGCGTGTATTTTATTAATACACAGTAAAATCTTGTAATGATCACACATGTCATTACAGTAAGGGGTTTGAAAGGGGGCAAAATTGCAAATCAGAAGCATCTTGCTGTCTTTTATTTTTAATTGAAATCCTCTATTCAAACCATTGGTCGTCAGAGGCTCCCTATCTGAATGAAGTCAGGCTATTTGTGGTTCTACTTTGTATCTAACAGTGACAATCCCGTCACCTGTCCTCCCACTGGGCACTGGTCCCCTGAGTTTCAGTGAGAGGGCTGAATGATTTCGGAGGGGGGGAATTTGTTTAACATTCAAAACTATCACAAAGCATGCCTTTCTTGTCACCCATTTACAAGCTTACAAAAAAAAAAAAAAAACAGTAAAGGTCATTATCAACTGGGCCAGCACAAAAGCTTCAGTCTCCAGCTACAACAGCCACTTCTATGACCACAGCTTGGGAAGGGCTGTCCAATACCCAACAAGCCACAGGCCAGCCAGCTCAGGGGCGGAATGGGGAAAAGCAGGACAGACAAATAGGGCCTGATGTTTGGAACGCTTGCACCTGGTCAGGCAAACAACGAGATAGTCTCCTCTTTCCTCACCCTTGGGCCAGCGGCCCCCTGGTGTGTGTGTGTCTCTACGGACACATGGACTCATGCAAAGTCATCAAATCCCTGTCTGCTACCTGTTCACTCTTCAAACAGAAATCCTGGGCTCCTGTCTCTCCTGGGACCAGTACTGGAAAAGTGACAGACTTTACTGACCGCAGCCAGCCCTGTGGGAACAGATCGCTTGCAGTTATCTTAGATCAGAGACTGCAGACTAGCACGTGCCGGTCACTCTGGGGGCATTGCGTCTTGCACAAAACTTAACTTCTAGAGAAACAAGGGAGACAATGCTAGTCCGGGGAAGGAAAAGTCCATGAGACACCAAAACAAAGCCAATGAGTCCTATGGTAGAGCCTTAGCCTCGAGGAAAAAGAAAATAAAGCTTAAAGACAGATCCTGAGTTCAAGCCTCAGTACTGGCAGAAGGAGAAAGAAGCAAGAAAAAAGGAAAGAAAGAAGAAGGAGGGAGAAAGAAAAGGAAGGAAGAAGAAAAGGAAGCAAGGAAGAAGAAATGGAAGCAAGGAAGAAAAGAAAGAAAGAAAGAAAGAAAGAAAGAAAGAAAGAAAGAAAGAAAGAAAGAAAAGAAGCAGAAAGACAAGAAAAGAAAGAAAGGAGGAAGGAAGGAAGGAAGGAAGGAAGGAAGGAAGGAAGGAAGGAAGGAAGGAAGGAAGGAAGGAAGGAAGGAAGGAAGGAAGGGACTGGATATTTGGGAGAGGCCTCTCTCCTGTGTTCTCTTCCGCAGCCCAAAGCAGCCTGGCTTCCGGAGTTCGACTCAGCATCCAGTACTAAGAGAAGAACCGCGAAAGTCGAAGTGAGCGGGCGGGCGCCGGGGCGGGCGGGCGCCGGGGCCGCGGCGGGCGGGCGGGAGGAGAGCGGCGCGGTACTCACCAGCGCTCCCTTCGCAGGTGCGGGGCCGCCGGAGGCGCGCAGGTGGAGCGCAGCGGCGCCCCGGCCGTATATATGGCGAAGGTGTTGCGCAAAGAGGCCGGCGGCCGTCGTTGTCATCACGCCCCTCGCACATTCCAGGACCGCCCGCCGCCGCCGCCGCCGTCGGGGCACTGCCTACCTGGCGTCTCGTGGAGCCCATGGTGACCTCCCCGGGCTGAGCACAGGGAGGGGGGGGGTGGAGGGGGGGGGGGACGAGGCCGGCGGCCGGCCCCGGGCTGCGGGGAGGAACCTCAGACACAGTGCGGCCACCCGAACGACCTGCGCCCCGGCGGCACCCCGCGCGCCCCGGCGGCACCCCGCGCGCCCCGGCGGCACCCCGCGCGCCCCGGCCCCGGCGGCACCCCGCGCGCCCCGGCGGCACCCCGCGCGCCCCGGCCCCGGCCCCGGCCGGCCGCCAGCTGCTGCGCTCCCTGCCCGCGCCCCCCCACCCCCCCCACCTCCCGCCGGCCTCCTTCTCTCCCTGGGAGTCTGGATCTTCTAGTCACCCTCCCCCGGGGCTTCAGAGAGGTCACAGACGCTGGACACAGATAAAAGCCAACTAGAAACTCAGGGACAGATTCACAACAAAGCTGAGATTGTTCCAGATGCCTCTTCTTCTCTCCCTGTAGAGTCCGCACTCGGCAGCTGGACCCTAGTGGGCCAGCCTGACTCTGGAGGGCTCGGTTGGAAAAGGCCCAGGAAGGTGGGATGATGGGGGGAGAGGGGGCTGCTGATGGATGGGCTTCCAATGTTCTGGGGCCGGGGGCCTGGCTTTGCCATGACCCTTTGAGTCCTGCTCTGCCCTGTGCCTTTCCCGTGTGCAAACGTCTCCTCCCAGCCCGCCACAGATCTGCCCTGGGAGTCTGTGTGCGGGGGAGGGGGGACTGGTGGATGGGGTCCCAGGTACACCTCAATGCTCGCGCCAGCCCTCAGACCCTTCCTCTCCCCTTGCTGCCCTGGTTTTATATAGCCAGGGGAAGTGGGGCTTAGCCTGTTCTGCCAGTTGCCCGGCTGCCTGTAGCTAATAGTGAAAGAGCCTATTGGGGACCAGCTGGTGTCACTCTAAAGCCTAGAGCTCAGAACCTGGGCTTCTAGGAACCCGCAGAGCTGGAGGCTGGAGAGTGGGTGGGTTTAGCCAGGTGGCTGTGGGGTGGGAGGGGCCTAGGGCCTGCAATGAATTCCCTGTTCTGCCCCCAGGCTTTCCCTGACTCTGGTGTAAAAATGGGATGAAAGGTCCCTTAGACTAGAGGTAACAATCTAACCCAGACCAGCGCCTGGCCCACAATGATAGGCAAAGTGTGGACCATGCTAGTGTTTCACAGGTGCTGGTGACTGGCATCTGGAAGCTCAGGACTCAGTGCCTGCAAGGTAGGCAATGAAGGCAGACATCTAACCCGCCTGGGAGGCTCTGTGAGAGAGAATGATTTGTCCTAGTGGGAGGACATGCAAGACATCCTCAGGGACAGAGCCTGACTAGCCCCTCTCCAGCCAGTGGCTTGTGAAACAGTCAGCTTGTGACAGGAAGCCACCCACGTGGACAGAGCTCAGCCCTGCTTATAGTGTGAGCAAGGCAGGCTACAGACACCACTGGAATGCGAATCCTACAGCCTGCCCCAGTAGCTGTGAGGTCTACAGTCACTTCCCCAAACCTCAAAATGCTCTTGCTGTTATGTTCCAATAGCAAGAAGGCTTCAATGATTACCTTTGTACAGTGCAGAGGAAAGGCACGGGATATTTCCGTGTCTCATCCTCCAGTGGCATAGGGTTTGGGTGAAAAGCATTTCCCTGTTTTCATTTCACCTCAGACACTGAATACTGTCACCATTTAGTTAGTGCCTTAAGCCTACAGCCTGTGTTTGCATGCAAGCAAAAGCAGTTTGTCAGAAATATAGACCCTTACCCGCCTCCCTATGGGCCATAGCGTTCTTTATGACTGTTGCTGTGCTCTGTGGTAGAATTTGGTAGATCAAATGGTGTCATTAATGTGGAAATTTAGACTCAAAAAGCCAGGAGTCTTGCCCAGGGCTACTCTGCTCTGAGGAGTTAAATATATAATCCTGTGTAGCTGGTTCAGCTCCTGGAACCAGAAGAGTTTCAGAACTTAGAAGTCCATTGAAGTAGGGCTTAGAAAGCACTCTGAAATCATAAACATGGGGGTTTTTTTAACTGTAAAAATGTATAGACATTGAAAAATGAAAATCATTGGATTTTCTGTATTATGGTTAAAGTTTGACATCAAATGAGTTTGTGACCTATGTTCAATTGCTTACCCAGTGAAACTTTGCTCTAAAATTTCTCAAATTTGTTCTAAAACTAGAGGTACAAAGGAAATGGCACTCTGGCTCAAAGTGGTGGAGCACTAGCCTTGAATGAGAAAGCTCAGGGACAGTGCCCAGGTCCTGAGTTTAAGCTCCAAGACTGACAAAAACAAAACAAACAAAACTAGATATATAAGACCAGAAACAGGGGCCCCAAAGGAGGTGAACAAATTTAACCCAATGTCACAGGAATAGGAACCTGAACTTTTTTGGGGGGTCCCGTCATGGGGCCTGAACTCTGGGCCTGGACACTGTCCCTAAGCTCTTCAGCTCAAGGCTAGCACTCTACCACTTGAGCCACAGTACCACTTCCGGCTTTTTTTTTCTGTTTATGTGGTGCTGAGGAATCAAACCCAGGGCCTCATGCATGCAAGGCAAGCGCTCTACCACTGAGCCACATTCCCAGTCCCCGGAACCTGGAACCTGAACTTACTGTACATACATAGTCTATATCAAAGCCAAAGAATAGAACTTCTAGAAGAAATATAGGCAAGTAGTTTCAAACTCAAAATATAAAATTTCTTACATAAAGAACAAATTGCAGCAACCATAACATAAAAGGACAATCCAGAATGGAGATACTGGCATTCATTCCTAGTCATATACCCAGGAGAAGAAATGAACACATGTTCACTGAGAGAATGCCTTGAACAGCACAGGTCTAGACAACAGCTTAGATAGCCATTTTCATGACTAGACTGGAATATTAAATGAGAAAACATCATACTTAAGTGTCACTAAATGTTTAATCTATTATACTGTACTAGAATATGCTACCTGGCACTAAATGAATGTGTCTCACCAACCTACGGTTAAGTCAAAGAAGAAGCCAATCATTAAAGATTTCAGTGTTTGATTGCATTTAAATGAAATTCCAAACCAAGCCCAAACTAAATCTTAGCATTCAGGATTGCATTAAGCAATCTTAGGAAGGCTCCACTAGAGCCACTGTCCCACCCTGAGCAGATTGGCTGAAACCCTCACTGAACAAACCTGGCTGGCTGTAGTTATTGGCTTTGTGGTAAATCTACGATTATACTAATTCTATGTACTGTTTATTTGTTTGGAGTCAGAGTCTCACACTGGAGCCCAGGCCTCCTTGGTTTCCTGAGAGCAGATTATTACAGGGTGCTATGATTCCCAGTTTGTCATTTTTTTCAAATGAATTATCTCAAAAATGAAAAAACATGAAAGTCTCCAATGAAAATCCCATGGGGCTGGGGTGATGGTACAACCAGAGCCTGCTTAACATAATAAACTTCCTCTGAATTTAAAAAATGTAATGGCTTGGTGGTTGGGGAAGAGTTCTGAAGAGAGGTCCTGGATCACTCCCTGGAGCCTGGATCCTTTTTGAAGTCAATGGGTTTTGAAACAGTTCCATGCGCATCCAAATAGGTGGTGACATTTACAGCTTGCTCACTCTGCACAAAATAGTAAGTGCTTCTCCCAAACTGACTCATTTATTCCATGACATACATTATTGCCATTTTATTGATGAGCAAACTGAGATACAGATTAGATATCCTGCCCAAGGCCACAGGTGAGTAACTGGACCAGAATTAAGTCTGATAGCCTGGGCCCAGCAGTTGTACTTTCACCTAAAATCCGGTTTGTTCCTCAGTGTCACTAAGTGCTTAACCAATCAAAAACTTCAAAAAGCTGAGCAAACACCTATTGGTGCCACCATTTGGAGACTGAGGAAGGAGGATCACCTGAGCGGTTGAGGCCACCCTGGGCATCACAGCTGGACCCTGATTGCAAAAACAAAATAGAAAGCACACATTTTTGCCAAGTGCTGGTGGCTCACACCTGTAATCCTTACTATTCAGGAGGCTGAGACCTGAGGAACAGTTCAAAGCCAGCCCAGGAAAGGCCATGCAATTCTTTTTTTTTTTTTTTTTTTGGGGGGGGGGAGGGTGGTCCGGGCGTGGGGCCTGAACTGTGGGCCTAGGCGCTGTCCCTCAGCTCTTCAGCTCAAGGCTAGCGCTCTACCACTTGAGCCACAGAGCCACTTCCGGCTTTTTTTTTCTTTTTGCTTATGTGGTGCTGGGGAATCGAACCCAGGGCCTCATGCATGCAAGGCAAGCACTCTACCACTGAGCTACCTCCCAGCCCAAGCCATGAAATTCTTATCTCCAATGAAGCACCAGAAAACCAGAAGTGGTGCTGTGGATCAAAGTGATAGAACCCTAGCCTTGGGCAAAAGACCTTAGGGACAGAAATCAGGCCCACAACAATCAAAAAAACCAAAACACTGAAATGGAACAACTTCCTGATGACTTACAATAATTCCACAAAACCAAACACAATCTGAGAATTCCTTCAGTATCTCAGAGTTCATACTCTAAATAGCTGCAGGCAAGCAGCAATACTTTGTAAAAGTTTCTGGTGTTTATGTGTCTAGAGAAACTTTTTCTGCCCCCTCAGCTGCTTGCTTTAGCCATGGCTAAAGCCTTAGTGGTCATGTCTGCATCTGTGTGTGATGATCAACCCCGCCCCCCCCCTTTCTTTACCAATAATCGCAGTAGCTTCTCCTCCCAGATTTGATGAGGATACTCCTTACCGCTAAAGGGAGAGCTGCACAGGGCACTGCTGTTCTTTCCTCTGTCTTCCAGAGATGATGACGCCCAATTTAACTCCAAAGAAATCGGCATCTCACCTGCTCTCCACTGAGTCTAATCCACCTGCCCTAAGGAGAGAAATGAGTGAATTCCATGGCCCTAAGTGTGCACAGGAAGATCTCTCCTGTAGGGAATCCACCATGTAAAACAGCCAACTAAAATGTTATAGACCT